TATATTTTAAAAAATAATTCCCAGCCTCATTCAGTTCCCTTTCCATTTTCATCTAGTGGTGCCTAATATCCATCTTTTCTTGAGTTTTATTTGGAGCACCAAGATGTGCTGTCTGAAATTTATTATGACCATCAGTAAATATTTTTCCAAAGTGTTTGAATTCTTGGGTGCAGCTGACCCTCGATATCCATAGGTTCTACATCAACAGAATCAACCAACCATGGATCAAAAATATTGTAAAAAAAATTACAGCTGTACTGAACACAGTTTTTTTTTTTCCCCTTCTCATCACCATCCCATAAACATATAGCATAACAACTATGTACACAGTCTTTGCATTAAATTAGGTTTTATAATCTGGACACTATTTAAAGTACCCAGAAGGAGGAATATAGGTCATATAATACTACAAGGTTTATATAAGGGATTTTAACATCCACAAATGTTGGTGTTAGCAGGATACTAGAACCAATCCGCCAAAGATGCTGAGGGATGACTACACTTTTATTACTTTTTCTAAGACAGAAGAATCATTTATTCAGAACTTTTTTTTTAAACACCTTAAAATAGTGAGCACCACTCTCCTGCCCCTTATTCCTACACAGAATGTTCTCAGAACCTAAATCCTGTCTGATGTAAATTTGGGGACTCTGCACATTATGGAACCAGGTGGGGAGAGGCTGATGTCTTAGAGGACACCTGCCATCAGGATTAGTAGCTCATGATATAGAGATTCTTTTCTGTCAGGAGAACCTCTCCCAGGAGATCTAAGAAAGCTACATGGTGGCAGAGTTTCCACTAATGTGGACTTTCCTGAAAAACCACTGGGAGCTTCCTGATCCCAGGTGGTAGTGACACTGAGGAGGCTGGGCACAGCCAGATCATTTACCTAAAGGGGAGGACAGAGCACATTACAAATAAGATGATCCCCAGTCTGAAGGCTTCACTAAACCACCATCATCACCCTCACGATGGAGAAGCAAAGGTGACTACAGGTCCTTCTCCACTTCCTCCCATCTTAGTGAAAAATTACCAATGTCTTAACCCTCTCAAGATGCCCTGGTTCAGGGTACTTTTATAAGTAGTCATGGGAAGAAAAGAGAAGGTGGGCACCAGTAGAGAGGCCTGGGGTTTGTCTCTTCTTGAATATGGAAGCAAGACAGGGACTGGCTGGGTGGCTCAGAGAACCCAGGCAGGACCCTGCACCTGCCATCCACCTGAGGTCCCAGTAGGTGGCGTCCTCTAAAACCCCTCCTTCACCCCAAACTTGACTTCCTGGTGGGCTAAGATTCTCTGGGCCCCAAAGATTTGGAGAGTCCTATCTGGGTCCTCTCTGTGAGATCTTCTCTGTAAACAAAGAGAAATCCTGGATTCCTACTCATCATTTTTACTCCACATGTTCTAATTTTTCTAGTTTGTACAAAGGAGGAGACCCCAAAGGTTTGTCTTACCTGATAACAAAATATACAACTATGAAAAGATCAGGGAAGTCCACTCAATGAACTCAGAAATAGAGGGAGATAGACCAAAGTGGACACTTAATACCGTTGGCGACCAACGAAGCAGAAATGAGTCAGAAGAGAAGTTCAGCAAAACCCACAGTGAGTTGCTCTCAAGGTGATCTATCTGCTCTATGTCACAGACTCGCCCAGGTAACTATGAGAAATAGTGGCACTGCCTTACTCCAGACTGCATCTGCGTGAAGTCATGAAAACAGATTTATGCACCATTGTCCTAGGAACAGACATGGAGATTAATTAACAGGACACAGAGTTCACTAATGAATTTGAGGACCTGGAGAGTAGAGAACTTCACTTCTGGGAAAGGTGCTTGTTAAATAAATACCCCTGGCATAACTGACTATCCAACTGAAAGAAAAATGGAAAACAAACAAAAAACACCTTTATTTTAAGCTATGCATAAAAATAAATTCCTGGAGTCTTAAAATGTATAAAATGCATTAAAAAGTTAAAATGACAGTATGGATGTGGTTTATTCTTCAGGTAGAAGATACATAAAGGGAGAGGCAGACACTTTTCCCAAAAGAAATAAACCTATGTGATTGTTTTTAATGGCAGATGCCAAAATAAACAAAGTCAAAAGGCAAATGGCACATGGGGAAATAAAAATATGCAGCACACACACACAAAAAAAAAAAGTTTAATGACCCTAGTATACAGATAATTTAAAAAAAAGTTATTAGCCCAACTGCTAATAAATTTAGGCAATTTCCCAAACTGAGAATGCCAATAAATATATGTAAACTGTTCAATAAACACATAAGATACACCCATCATTTGCATATGTCATGGTTCCTACCTGGACCATTATGTATCTTCTACCTAAAAGGTAAACCATGTTCATAACTTCCATTTTAATTTTCAATGCATATTTTAATAACATAGAGATAGCTCCCCACACACATACACACACCACCAGACTGGCCAAAATTGTACATTACTGGTTTCAATGAGGGGAAGTGTGTAATTTTTAAAAACTGATGGTAAAAATGTGAATTATAATTTCCTTTTCAGAGAAGTAGAATGTCAATCTCCACTAAAATTGAAAAAAAAAAAATGTGCACAGACTTTGATGTAAAAATGCTATTTAGTGGAATATATGTACTCTATAGAAAAAAATTTACCAGGATACAATGATATACATAGGGATGTTTATCATATCATTTTGATGAAGGATAAAAACAAAACAAAACAGGGCTGTGGTTGTGGCTCAGTGGTAGAATGCTCGCCTAGCATGTGTGAGGCACTGGGTTCTATTCTCAGCACCACATAAAAATAAACAAACGTATTGTGTCCATCTACAACTAAATATACATACATATATATATTTTTTTTTAAAGAGTCCATGCTTGCATGATTATGTCAAAATAAACCTCAATATTAAAAAAAAACAGAAATACACCAGTTTGAATTTCCCTCAATATGAAAATACTGAAATAAGTCATGGTGCATGTGTGTATATGTATGTGTGTGTATGCATGTGTATCCATGTACACATGTGTATCTATGTATGTGTTTGTATTCCTTTGCATGGAATATGATGCACTTAATCAAAAAGGTTACATTAGGTAGATAGGCACTATCTTGGCGAGATGTCCTAAATACAGTGTTAATTTAGAAAACTAAATGGTAGGTTAATACAATATAAATAGCATGACTATTTTATTAAAAATAGCAAAAATAGCAAACCAGAATAATATTATATATTTGTAAGTGGTGGTATGATTGTCCAAAAAGGTGTGGAGGGCTATATAAACAGGTTCTTAATACTGGTTTCCTTTATTCTTATAAATTTTATGGTCACTCAGCATATAATAGAATATATTATCACAGGAAGTTTTAAAAAATATTGGTGGGAAGAGATATTAGTCACCTTCTTTGGAAATGGGTTGATGGGCAGGAAGGGAGAGGATTATTGGTGTTTTCATAACATATTTTTGTATTATGTCATTGCTCATAGTAAATATATATTACTTGATAATCTCTGAAGAGGAATATTTTTGGCACAATAGGAAATGTAAGAAGCTACAAAAAATATATCAAGGTATCTCATTTTTTTTTAATATTTATTTTTTAGTTTTAGGTGGACACAATATCTTTATTTTATTTTTATGTGATGCTGAGAATCGAACCCAGTGCCTCGTGCATGCTAGGCGAGCGAACTACCACTTGAGCCACATCCCCAGCCCCAAGGTAACTCATTTTTATTCCGTTGTATTTCTACATTCTCATTCAGCATCTATAGGTATATATATATATATATATATATATTTTAATGTTCTTAACTGAAGAATATCTATTTATGGTAAACAGTTAAAGAATACAGAGTAAAAGGGAAATCAAAAAGGGAGAAGAATTATACTTCAGGAATAGCACACCAGCTAGATATGTGCCATTTACCAGGAGTTCACATAACAAATCTGCTTTACTCACAATGCATCTTAGATCTGATGTGCTGGCCTCACTTTGCTTAGTTCCACAGAACGCTAGGCTGGGAGATGATGAATTCTTTAAAAATCTTTCAATGTTTCTAATGCCAAAGAGAAAGTCTATCCGATTCTGAATGTCGTCTGAATGCAAAGTCAAAGCCACCTGCACAGAGTGGCTAGAAAAGAATAAGCCAAATGGAAGCTAAGAAGACTAGATAGAGTCGTAAAGAACAGGGGTGCTTGCATGCAAAGTGGTTACTTTCTTTAAAACTGTGTGTGACGAAGATAACAGGAGCCCAGAATAGTTATAGAAACATGATATTTTTGGATCTAAATACAGTTTGGGTTTCCTTGGAAACCCGAACTGACACATATTCATGTAACCAGATGTACACACACACACACACAAGAGAACCATGAATGGTGTACTGCTAATTCAGTCCTCCAAGATGTGTGTGGGGAAAGGAGATGGGAATCGTGATTCGGCACAATGTAGGGCTTCACTCCATGAGCACAGTCACAATTCTTAGCGTGACCCACTGTCCCCTGAAAGTGGGAAGTTTTTCTCTGTGACTATCTCCATGGCTAGCATTTTGACTCCAGAGGTCCTCATCTCCCAGGACGTACAGGATGGGTAATATGGTGACTTAGGAAATATTATAGAACAGGAACAATTGTGTGTCATGGTGAGGCAAGGCTCCTCGGTAGTCTAAATTCTCAATTGTCCTGTGTGGCTTCTAATTTATTTTTTTGAGACTCAGATGTCTTAACAAAATTTTCCCACAGAAACAAAGGTCATTTTCTCTTTGCCTACCACGAAGGGTCACCGATGAGAATCTAGTGCTGCCTCTCTGTCTAGGTCACCATCAGAGTCCCGATTCTGGGTTCTTCCTAGACTCCTGGGAGATGCTAGCTGGCAGGCAAGTTTGGGGACATTTAGTCCAATTAAAGATTCACTAATAAGTTTTAAGAGAACTCCAGTGAACAGAAAAGGAAATCCCTGAGGGTTCCCCAGTCTGCCCCAGGTCAGAGGAGTAAGGAGGGCAGGTACCCTGCAAATCTCCACTCTGTTGGCAGCCTCCTCCATCTCTTCCCTGAGGGCATCAGCTTTGGCACCCGCAGGCTGTAAGCTGCTGGACAGACCTGAAGACTTAGAAGTCTGCTGCCACCTGATGGAAAAGAGGAGAAAAAGAGGAGAGAAGTGAGACAGGCAGAGCCCTCTGGATTTTGTGGGAATGCTGAGCACTCTCACCAGAAAGGAATGAAAAGGTACCAAGTCCTCCATCATGAGAAAGGGGGCTCACATTTCCACATCCCAACTGTTGCCCAAAGCCAAGGAGCGACTGTCCTCCACAAAGGACAAGCAATCCCCCCGTCTGACACTGTTTTCCTATTGGATTCCAAATATTAAGGCCAAATGACAATTGCCTTGGCTGTCTTTTGAAAATCAACGTTATTTTTACTGACAAATCAGAATTTCATACATTTATGGGACACTGTGATATGCTGAGCCATTAAGCTCAGCATACAGTGTGGAATGATCAAATCAAGTTAATAAACATCCATCACCTCACTGACTTTTGATCTGAGATGTTTGAAACTTAATCAGCTGACCACAGTAATATATATCTAGACATATACATATATATATATATATATATATATATATATATTCACACACATATATATAAATTGACATATATATATAATATAATGTAATATATATTTCAAAACAACTCACTGCCTTAAAGCACAGTCTCTGCTATTCATTTACATTCCCCGTGAGAACCTGAGTTTGGATATTCACCTACTTTGGTTGAAGCCAATAATGGATACTAGGTGAGAAGATATGCCAATAAGATGAAAAACATATCTGAAAGCAAAAATCCCCAACAGGAAACACAAAACAACTACACACTCACAATTATATACCTCGTGTTATGGTTTGGAACTGGAATGTCCCCAAAAGCTCATGAATTGAAAGCATAGTCCCCAACACAGCAAGGTTCAAAGGTGGGGCTGTTAGGCAGTGATTGGATCCTGGGGCTCTGACCTGTCAGTGAATTTATCCATGGACAACTGAATGGGGGGGCACCTAATTGGAGGAAGCAGGTCACTGGGGGTGCCCTCCCACACCCCACTTCCCTGCTACCATGAGCTCAACAGCTTTTCTGTGTCTGCCCTGCTGCCAGCCGACTGTGGGTTGAACCCATGAAACTGTGAGTCAAAATAAATCTCCTCTCCTCTAAGTTTTTCTTGTCAGGTATTTTGGTCACAGTGACAATTTATATTTACTTAAAAATGTATCTTTGTGGGGAGAATACTGGCCTTCCTAGGAAGTCACTCAGAAAATGTTAGGAGGACACGCAAATAGTTCTGTTTCCTAGGTCATCATCAGGGAATTACCAGATGCAAACCCTGAAAGAAGGTTCTAGTGACAGTAGAAGGGAGTAGGTAAAGCGGGTCTCAGCAGCGAGGGCCTCTCTGGACAGTCTGTGAACTCAGGCCAGCAAGTAGGCCAAAGGAGCCAAGTAGGCCACTATCTTGAAAACTTGACCAGGGGCCTCTTTCCTTTTCTACTTGTAATAGAGCTATTTCTAGGCTGGAAGAAGAACAATAGCGTGATCAGGATGACAAATGGCAGCCAAGCCTGGCCAATGCAGGAGGGTGGGGGAGGGGAGGTGTTGCCTGGGCTGCTGCCCAGTCTCTGGTCCAGGCTGGGAGGGCCCAGGTAGAATCGTGGGTCATGGGCTGCCAGGTGTTTCAAATAATGAGAGCATTTGGAAATTTTCATGTGAACTCCCCTTAGGAAATGTGACAAGAGATAAAAATGATGTCTTTTAAACCCCATGCAGGCCAACGCTGTAGACCAAACAACACACATCTCTGTGTGCACCATCTCTGGTTCTCAGACCATCAGTCTGCAGCCTCCAACGCAGGGACAAAACGTGGAACGGCCCCCTCATCTTGAGAGTCAAAGAGTCTAATCGATAGGGGTTTTCTCTGCCTGATTTTTTTTCTTTTCCCTTTTGTTTTCAACAGGGACAACATAAGAGCGCAGAGCTCTATGATAGAAGGGACACTAAAAAAAGGCAAAGCAAAGGTGTCTTTGTTAATAGCAAAATAAAGCATTCTCTGTCACTTAAAGAATGTAACCATGGGAAAATCACTTTTAAAAAATGTCTTTGGGAATCTCAAGCTGGCCTGAAGCTCCAGGGATAGACACATGTCCTAGGAAAGATTCCTGATTCCAAGATAAGCATTAAGGGCAAATGAGAGAGGAGGTATTCTATTGGAAGTGATTTTAAAATTTAAGCTGAAATAACTGGGCAGAAAAGCATCTGTGAGAATTCCCGAGTGACACTTTCTTATAAAGGTCTGCCCTACACAGATGGCGTGGCTCATTAACGCCTCTCTACCTTAGCCACTTTAAAGTATTGTGGGGTTTCCTGGTAAATAAGAGATGGTATAACTGTAATTTTTATTTAAGTCAATAAAAATGTGAATACTCCATGGGGATTATGGAATCGAGTTACAACCACCTTCTGACTCCCACTATGTAAAGAAAAAGCAACCAATTGGTGTGTATGTATGTGTGTGTATGTGTTTCTGCATACACACACACACACATATTACATATAACACATATAAAGTAACTATAAATGATAAGTTCATTTTTATGGCTTTGCAAATTTGGATTTTTTTTTTTAAAAAAACCATCTGAATTATATTTTATATATGTAGATTAAAATAAAGATATTTCCCATTATCTTTTATTCCCTATCCCTCCCCCACCCCACTAAATTTTGTCCTTTAGTCAATACCCTGGTACTTCAAAAGCATGCCCCTCTTACTCTCTCTCTAGGGAATTTTATTGGCAATATATATTAATATACATTATAACATAGTTATGATAGTAACAGAATATCAAGGGGAACTTGGAAAAAAAATCGTACAGATAATAAACTGTTGGGAAAAGCAACATGAACATTTCAAGGTTCATGTTCATTTCAACATGTTCATTTCAACATTTCAAGGTTCGGCAGTCTCCTCAGCCCATCCTTTCCATAAAGAGACTCAAGAGTTGGGTTTTTCTTTCAGAGAAGAAACAGGGAGACTGAACATGGCCCAGGAAGAGTCCAAGCTTTGAAGCTTGAAGAGCGGAAAGATAATTCTTCCTACTAAACTTGTGGGTACACTGCCAACATTCTTTGGGGACCGAGGGCACCGCTTCCCAGTGCATGGCAGTGCTATCACACTCCTGTTAAAAACAGATTTATTTTTGAAAATTAATCAACTACTTTTGAAAGATTTATAGGCACCGATGGCAAAAATCCTTCAGGTGGTTTGGAAGTCTGGAGAATGAGTACAGGAGTCGCAGGCAAGCTCTGTTCAGCTAGGAGGAAGTCCAGCAGAAGACTTCTTGCAAGGCAAATAGGACAGTTCCTTAGTGGGACATGCATGGTGGCACCCCTCCCACCTTCTCCCTTCCCCTACACTTTGAGTCACTGTTCCCACTCCTGCTCTCCTGCCTCTTCTTCCTTCACAAAGGGAGGTGAGCTTCGGGTGGCAGTCTTCCCCAGCCAGTGCAACCTAGACCTTACCAACAGGTAAGGTCAATCAACTCACTTTTTACACTTACTTAATATTCACAGCAAAGGGCACTGCTTCCCAGTGCATGGCAGTGCTATCAAACTCCTGTTAAAAACAGATTTATTTTGAAAATTAATCAACTACTTTTGAAAGATTTATAGGCACCGATGGCAAAAATCCTTCAGGTGGGTGGAGGTCTGGGAAGTCACACTCATTAAGGGAACTCTTGTTGCTGTGCCGGTTTTACCTGTTTTCTTTCTGGCCTTGGGAAACTGCCCTGTGCCTTGTACTGTTCCAGATGCAGAAGTCCAGGGAACCAAGTAGTGCTAGTTCGGGCTTCCTTTCGTAAAGTATTTGGGAAGTGATGTGACTTCCTTCGCCTCATTTGATACTCAAAACAACCTTCTCAGGTCTGCCCACGAATGCAACAGGTGAGGAAATGGATATTCTGGGAGATTAAGTGACTTTATCAATGTCACAGATCTAGAAAGTAGCTGCTCGGGATCTCAGGACCTGACCTTCAGAGTCCTGTGGCTGGACTTTGTCCCATATCCTCTCACCCAAGCACATTCTGTTTTTGTTTCTTCATTTTGAGAAAATTAAAATAAAGATGTGGTCATCACGAAGATTAACCTACAAAGACCTAAGGTAGAAGTGAACACTTCCTTCCAGATGAATACGCAGGAACTTTCACTAGTTCACTTGTGCGTGCTAGTGGTACCTGCCCCTGCCCCTGTCCCTATAAGACCAAAGGGCAAACAGAACAACTCCACAGATGACAGCCAGTCAGTGCCATCTCAGGGCCTTTGGCACTCCCCGGCTACAGGGATTTTCAGTGGACTCTGAGAAGCAGGTTAGAAAAGTCCTGTAAGATCTGAAGTTCTCTCAGAAGGGCCTCGGGTTTACAGAATGACTACAGAAGGGATATCTACCTATACCACCAAGTTCAGAAGGGCAGTAATCCCCAGAACTAGGAACGCTTCCCCTACTAGAGTGATGATCTATCAACTGTCCTACCTTTTGGGTCCCCTCTTATTCCCTCCACCCCAGCCATGCTAGTCTTCTTTCTGCACCTTCAATATGCCATATTTACCCCTACCTCAGGATGCACTTGGGTGTTCCCTCTGCTATAGACAATCTGCACCAGATCTCTGCATGGCTGCCTCTTCCTCACCATTAAAGTTTTAGACTGACTGATGTGTTCTCAAAAAAAAAAAAAAAAAAGCCTCATTTTACCCCACCTCATGTTGATACTTCTGTCTGCACCATTCCCCTTAGAATTATCTTGTACATTACGGCTTATAACTGCCTGAGATTGCCCTGTTTGTTCACGTGCCTGATATCTATTTCCAAAACCCAACTGCAGCCTCTGCAAGAGCAGGGACCCAGTGTGTCTACTTCTCCAATGCCTGGTTTGCACCAGAAGTTTAAAAAAAAAAAAAAAAAAAAAAACTAGTGAAGGACGTAGCATGCTCACCCACACTAACCAGCCACCACCCGAAACGTGGTCACTACTCCCAGACACACAGAAAAGAAAAGCCAAAAAATTATACCTGGTTCGTGAGGAATCCATGTCCAGCACCAACTTTGCTAAATGTTTCCTCTGCTTCTGAATATTTGGGATTTCCACCTGCGGTTGCAGAAGATGACACACATGAGGTGCAGCCCATGAAAAATTCTTTTAGAATTATTCTTTATGACTATTCTTTAAGAACTATTGGCAGGCACACAGCAAGTTGTCTAGTAGTGTCTTGATCCTCATTTTCAGATGGAATGCCTTCTTGCCTCCTCTGCTTAATTGTGCATAATTGTGAACAAGCAGAAACTGTCAGTATTTTAGGTGTACAACCTGATGTTTTGATATGTACACATCGTGAAATGATTACTATCATCAAGCTAATGAACATATCCATCACCCTGCATAGTAATCGTGTTCTTCCTCTGCAACATTGTGTGTGTGCATGCACACCATAAGAACACTTAAGATCTACCTTCTTAGCAAATTTCAGATACATAATACAGTGTTATTACTTATAGTCACATTATACTGTTCATTACAACTACCTAAATTTACTCATCTTGCATAAATGAAATTTTGTGCCTATTGCAGTTTGGATCTTAAATGTTCCCCAAAAGTCCACATGCAAAAGGCCTGTAGCAATTTGGGGGGACAGGATCTAGTTGGAAGAAGTTAGGTCACTGCAGGCATGCCTTCAAAGGGAGTATTGGGAATGCTGGCCCCTTCCTATCTCTGATTTTGCTTCCCAGCTTCTCCCAAGTGAAAAGCTTTGCTCTACTATGCACTCCAGCCATAATGTGCTGCCTCTTCACAGACCCCAAAACAAGAGCCAACTGACCATGAAATAAAAGCTCTAAAAAATTAAAAAATAAAAAATAAGCCAAAATAAACCTTTCTTCTTTTTAAATTAATATTCTCAAGTATCTTGTCATAATCATGGAAACCTGACTACCGCAGTCTCCTCTGGCCAATATTAGATGATATTCCTAATTCTTCATCCTGAATTATACACTGTTGTCTCTTCTCTGGACACCTGCCGGGCCCCCCTTTCAACTCAGACCATCTCAGAAGTTCTGGGCTCCCCTGCTCTCCTAGGCCTGACCACACTGCAGCCAGAAAACAGAGGCTTGACTACATCTTGATACTTCCACCAGGGCAAAAACAGGACAGAAATGAAGAGAGCCGAGCTGAGTCACAGCTGACACTCAGACCTAACTCAAAATAAACAGTGGGAATGGAAAGAGCACCGGCCTCAGGAGAAGGGAGCTGAAAAGTCTCGTCTGACACTCCTACCTAACTCCAAAAACAAACAGTGGGAATCGAAGGAGCACTGGCCTCAGGAGATCTGAGACGCCAAGAGGAATAGCAAGAGCAGAGACATTTTATATTTGCATGAATAAAGTAGGCATATTTGTATATTTATAGAAATAAAGTAAGATATTTTTTTTCCAAAGTAAATAAATGAATAAACATTGCCATCCTGGTTTTCCTCTGTGATGAGTACTTCCAACTTGGTTGTATGTGGATGCTCTTTTTATATTTTTCTTTCTAAAAATGACTTCCCTGAACATTCCAGTGCAGGATTTTGGTTCCAGGCCCAGCGAAAGTAGGGCAGGATGTGAGAATTAAAAAAGAAAATTGGCCGTAAATTGAACTAAAATCATCTCAGGCTATTTTCTTTTTCATATATATATATGAGGAAAACCCAACGTTCCCTGAAGTGTTCCATTCACTCTACGGAGCAGGGATGAGGTGGGGTGCTGAGAGCACCAACTTCCTGCACCAAGGGGAAGATGGAGTGCCTGCGGACGGGCTGAGTCTGCACCTAGGTCCAGAGCAAGGCGTGTCCTCCTACAAGTCATGCAGGAGAATCGGCTTTGTTTCCGGGTCATCCTTGTTCCTGGGGTTGCTTCGGGCTTTGGCCAGAAAACTCTGTCCTATCCTGCCTTATGAGGAGCACAGGGTCTCTCATGAATGTTCAAACTAGGGGATGCCTGGCCACAGGATGGAACCCAGAACCCTAGAGCTGGTCTATGTCAACCTATGTCAAAGTATTACAGCTAAGACTTTCCTCTCCGATTACCTCTAGGTCCTTAAGTAATCATCTATACCTCTGAGAAAGAATACCAGGGGATGTGGAGGTCCTGGGGGTGATCCAGAGAGGAAGCCAGACACGGGTGAGGGCAATGCTGCCCAGCACTGTGGCCTCCAGTCACAGGGAGCTCTGTGACACTCAATCTAAATTAACAAAAATTTTAAAGTTAAAAACTGAGTTGCACTGTGTTGCACTAACCATGTTTAAAATACTCAAGAGCCACGTAAAGCTGGGGATACCCAACTGTGCACAGGTAGCGCAGTGCTTAGGTTTCATATGGCTGATTAAAGACTACTGGGAGGAGCCCAGGGTCCTAGGCAAATCAAACTCCCAGGGTCCTAGGCAAATCAAACTCCCCAACTATCTCTGGTCTTTCTTGGTAAAATCACACTTGGTAGAAGTCAGCAAAACTGCCACACAGACATGAAGCTAGCTCAATAGCTAAATAGTTTAATGGAGTGTACTTTAAAGTCTAAAGAGAAAAGACCACGTAAACATCACCCACAAGAGGCCTCGCAGGTCCCAGACTCCCTCTGAGGACAGCCGGCCATTCGGTCACTAGAGGTGAAGGGGGCGGGGGGTGGCAGACAGGACTAGGAGCAGGAAAGGAAGTGAAGCGCCATGTTTACATCTTTACCCATCAGAATGGCAACATGAAATGCATATGAGGGGGAGCCATGGTGAAGTGTGGCAAGGGCTGCCGTATCTGGGAACCCTGACCATGGGGCCAGGTGGTGATGATTCCTTATGAAAGACAGAAGATCGTGGAATCAGGAACGGGATGGAAATAGCAATCAGGCTGCAGGAGGGGTGAGCTCAGCAGCTCCCCCAGGGCCCTCCCAGGGTCACGCGGCCTTGGCCTCATTCCTGCTTCTCACCTCAGCCAGCAGAAACAGGGGCTCAATCACATCTCTCTCCACTTGCAATTCAAAATGTATCAGCTCCTGAGCCAGCTTGTCCTCTGTCTCTCCACAGAGTTTCAGCATCTTCCTGTAACAAAGGGGGGAAAAACAAGACTGAACATCCTTGAAGACAACAATGTTGCCCGAGTTATGCTCCCGTCACCTCCCTGCGGGGGTCAACTTTGCCCAAGTCAATGTCAATAAGCCAGTTGATTCCCACAGCAGCCAGTGACCCTGATCCAACTGTCTCCACTTCTGAAATTATCAGTTCCTCCAAACAGTGCTGAGGACTCCCTTTGTGCCTGGAACAAAAGGGGACATTTTGGGAAAACATAACAGAAATGTGGATAAAATAGATTCCTGTACATCTAATCCACAGACCTAAAAAGAACCAGATGTTTTTAATCCGTCCCCTGGGAATCCTGGAGAAACTAGTTAAGATTGACCCAACTGACCCACTAACACACCAACATCTTCAAACACATACCAAAACTCCCTTGCTCCTAAGCCATGAAGATTTAATTAGTACAAGATGGGCAGTTAATTATCCCATGGAAAAGTAAGGGGGGAAAAAATTTTTCAAAAAACAAAAATTTTTTTTTTGGCACTGTGATTGAACCCAGGGGCCTTAATCACTGAGACATCCCTAGCTTTTTTGTTTGTTTTTTTAATTTTTTTTATGTTGGCATTTTTATTTATTTATTTATTTTTAGAGACAGGGTCTCGCTGAGTTGCTTAGGGCCTGGCAAGTTTTAAGTGGCTTTGAACTCATGATCCTCCTGCCTTAGCCTCAGCCACTAGGATTACAGGCGAGTGCCATCGTGCCTGGCTAGAAATTCTTTAGACACTTGCACGTAAGTTGGTGAATGTAGATTAGATTCTAACACCTTTTCTGATGCAAATGTCAACTCCCAGATTATGGTTTTATCTTTGTAACTTTTTAATGGTGTCTTTTATCTGATTTTCTGGTCCTTACCCCTATATGTCTAATATTACTTATTGATTTTTTTAAGTACCAGGGATTGAACCAGAGGTGCTTAACCACTAAGTCACATCCCTAACCCTTTTAATTTTTTATTTTGAGACAGGGTCTTGCATAGGGCCTGGCTAAATTGCTGAGGCTGGCTTTGACCTTCTGATCCTCCTGCCCCAGACTCCAGAGCCACTGGGAATGATAGGCTTGCACCGCCAAACCCAGCTTACTTCTTAATTTTTTAAAATCTTAAGCTAAAGCCCTGTCCTAAAGCTACTGACCATCAACTATGAAAAATAAGACTTTATCTTTGATTACATTTACCCTCCCTCCATTAATATTTATATCAGTACATATTCAGTATTTATATTTTGACTATATTACAGGGTATGATTCCTAATCAAAAAACCTGCAGTTTTCAGAGTTTTGGATTTAGAGTTTTCAGATTAGAGATGTTTTAACTGGACTATGCAAATATTCCAAATTCCTGATAAAATCCCAAGTCAGAAAAACTTGTTCCCAAGCATTTCACATAGGGCTACTCAGCCTGTTTGGGGGGGTTGAGCTGAGTACCATACTATGATTACTGGTCCTTCCTTCCCATTTATCTGCTCTCCCTGGAGTGAATAATTCCTTGTTTCAGTTTGCTTGTTTCATTTTCTGTGTACATGTTAAGCCTGACATCCCTGACACTTTCCTAATTTGTCTCTTAAGATAGTGAACCACCTCTGATGTGAAGGAATTCTGTCTTCTTGAATTCCTGTCTCCTGGACTGTACGGCCTGACCAAGTTCTCTTGGCTTCTCTCCCTATCCCTCGGGTACAGTTATCATCCTGACATCTTCCTTCAGAATTTCCTAGGGTTCTCTGTCCCTGTGTCCTGTGCTGGATGTTCCGTCATCTTATGTCTACGTCTTTCTTGGTTACATCTTCACGATGCCTTCGTTCCCTGAGAACAAAGAGTATGCAGGAAGCCGAGTCTTCAGATCCCATGTATCACAATATTGTCCTCTGCCCTCACACAGATTGATACTAGGGCAGGATATTGCATTTGAGGCTGAGCAGTGTTTCCTTCAGAATTCTAAGGGCTCTTCTTAATAATCTTCTAGATTCATTGTGAATCGAGAAGTATTCACAATTCTGGCTTGTTGAAATATGACATTTTTTTTTCCTAGCAGGAATAAAATCTTCTGTCACCTGTATTCATAACTGTGAGTCTCGGCGTAGGTTTAATTTTTTCCCATTATATTGGGTGTTCAATGGGCCTTTTCAATATAGAAATACAGGAACTTCAAGTCTAGAAAATGCTTTGGAATTATTTTTGTAATAATAACTTTTTGTTTGTTTGTTTTGTGGGATTGGGGATTGAACCCAGGACCTTGTGCATGTGAGGCAAGCACTCTACCAACTGAGCTATATCCCCAGCCCCTATAATAATAACTTTTAATATCATTTCATTCTTGACTTTTCTAAGAACTCCTGTTATTCAGGAAAAGTCTTCCTGAATTGGTCCTCTAATTTTCCAACTTTTTCTATTTGCTGTGTCTTTGTTTTCTTGCTTGATTTTCTGGGTAAATTTCCTCCAATTTATCGTCAAACCTACTGAGAGTTTCACATCTGCTCTCATCTTTTTCCTCATTTCTATGAGCTTGTTTTTGATCTCTGCATGTTTCTTCCCTATAAACTTCTTGTACTAATATCCTGTTTTTAATCCATGGATATATACCATCTTCTTTTACCCCTTGAAATCGTAAGTGATAATAGCCTTGAAATCTTCTCCTCCCCCACACAATCTCTATTTCATCCAAATGGCATTTCCCCCACCCTGACTATTTTGGTCTCCAGGATTCAGGTTCAAGACTTTCCTCACACATCTGGGAATCTCTGGTGGCTGCTTAGATTCTAGGTGGAGACGAACATAGAACACATTCGGCGTAAGGGAGGAAAACTTGTGGGCTGTGAGCTTGCCTGAAGGATGATTTGGTTCTGCCATTAACTGGGGCACTGCCTCCATCACTGTCCTGAAAGCTTCAGATCCTTCTTTTGGGGCTGCTCAGATTCCTAGAGAATGCCTCTCTAATTTCTTGCCTGGAGGATAAAGCCTGGGGCCTGGTAAGAGGGGAGTGAGCATGGAGGAGTCTCTCAGCATCTTTCGAGCAAGATCCAGTGATGTTTCCTTTCACCGCCAAGAAACAGTAAACCTGCAGATGTTACTGTCTGGGGGAAGAGATATTTCCAGGAGGTGTGCAGAGGGCAGGGTTTCAGTGATCACATGGCACTTAAAAAGCACCCCCCATGCATTCATTATCCTAACTCACCCACTCCACCCTCAAAGACCAAATGTCCCTAGTACCACCAATTCCCTAAGCACCATCAGCATTTCCTGGTGTATATTATGTCAGATATCTTCATACTACTTTAGGCTTGGGGGTCAGTTTTCTGAACCAGACGTTCGTAGGAGTGAAAAGGGGGTGGTGAGGGGAAAGAGCCCAAGGCCTCCTGCAGGCCAGGCACCACTCTACAACTGAGCTACATCCCTAGCACTACCTCACTGTTCGTGATCTTCACAGCTCACAAAGTTACGTTGCTGATAAACTTTCTCTTATTTTCCTTACCACTGTGGTTAGATCATTTGCATGTGCACTGTGTGTGAGGTACTAGTGATGAAACCCAGGAACACCCAACGACTGAGCCACATCCTCAATAAAAATAAAAATAAAATCCTATAAAATGAAATAAAAATAAATCCTTTTAATTTTTTATTTAGAGACAGGGCCTTGCTAAATGGCTGAGGCTGGCTTTGAACTCGCAATCCTCCTGCCTCAACCTCCCAAGCTGCTGGGATTACAGGCATGCACCACCATGCTTGGTCTGTGGCTAGGGGGCTTTTGCATGTGTGTTCTATGCGTGATATTGCATGTAGATTGAACCCAGGGTGCTCTACCACTGAGCCACATGCTGGGCCCCTTTTATTTTTTTATTTTGAGACAGGGTCTTGCTAAGTTGCCCAGGCTGGTCTTAAACTTGCAATCCTCCTGCCTCCATCGTCCAAGTAGCTTGGATTACAGGTGTGAGGCACTGCACCCAGTAGTTTTATATCTTTTAAGGAAAAAAAATATAACTCTTTATTATAGTTTATTGGAAGGAAATAACATCGGATGTGTGTTCAGTCGCTGATCTTTACTTCCAACCTTGCTCCATCATTGTGTCCTGGAAAAGCCTCTTGGGAACACCACGTAATAGGATTTCATGTTTATTTTGTGTCTATCCGTGATGACTACAGCATGCATACCGCAACTACTATCACCGTTATTCTCTGTTTTCTATGTATCGTGCTTTCCTTCACTTACTTACTTCTCTTTTAATTGCTCTAATAGTTTTTGTTGTGGGTTTTCTTTTTCCTCCAATTTATATCCTTTTTCATCTTTCTACTAGTTTGGAAGCTATACATTCTACTTCTCTTTTTGTCTTTTCTTTTTTAAAATATTTTTTAGTTGTCGATGAACCTTTATTTTTTATTTATTTATATGTGGCGCTGAGGATCAAACCCAGGGCCTCACACGTGCTGGGAAAGTGCTCTGCCACGGAGCCACAATCCCAGGCTCATGTCTTCTTTAAACGACGTAAGATCTGGTAATACAGACTCCCCCTCTGATGAGTTTCAAGTTATTATTATCTAGTACTTTAGTCTTACTTTGCTTATCATCTACCCCCCTGAATTAATCACCTTAACATTCCTGGGTTTTGATTCAATGCTTATTTTCTTTATGTTAAAGGCAACAGAGTAAGCCCCCACCCCCCAAGTACACCTCTTTGGCATAAGATTATTTTGAGCTGAATGCAACTGAAAAGCAGCATTTTTTTTTTTTTTTAAAGAGCTTTCTGCCTCCCTCTATTTGCCTAAAGTGGAACAGAAACATACAAAAGTGTGCTTGTCCCCTTCCTTATTATTACGGTTTGAGTCTTAAATGGCCCTCAAAGGTCCACGTGTTAAAGGTTTGGTCACCACCCTGTGGCACTATTGGAAGGTGGTAGAAATTAAGAGGTGGAGTCTAATCAGAAGCAGTCAGGTCCCTGGGGGCAAGTTTTTTTTTTTTTTTTTGGGGGGGGGAGGTGCCAGAAATTGAACCTGGGTCCGGGGTGCTTAACCACAGAGCCACATCCTAACACTTTTTTTTTCTTTTTCTTTCTTTCTATCTTTTTTTTGGACACGGGGTCTTTCTAAGTTGCTTAGGGCCTTACTAAATTCCTGAGGCTAGCTTTGACATGTCATCCTCCTGCCTCAGCCTCCAGAGCTTCTGGGATTACAGGAATGTGTGCCACCACATCCAGGCATGCTCTTGAAGGGAATGTTGAGATCCCAGTCTCTTCTCTCTCTTCCTGGCCATCCTGAGGTAAGTAGCTTTGCTCAGCCATGTTCTCCCCCACCATGATGTTCTGTCTCATCACAGGCCCAAAAGCAATGGAGCCAGCTAACCATGTACAGAAACATCTAAAACCATAAACCAAAATAATTCTGTCATCCTCTTAAATGGATTGTCTCAGGTATTTTGTCACAGTGACAGAAAACTGACAAACCTATCTCTCTACCAGAAACAACAGAAGTTAATCACAACTTTAGGCCCTAATTAGCCCCAAGATGGAGCCGGAGAAAACCACAAGGCATCACCAATTAACTAGTCCTTATACTCCATTAGTTCCCCATAGATTTACCTTCCTACAGTCTTTCATCCAGGAAACTCCTTTTCCTTTGTCTTGTCATTTCTCCAAAAATGACTGTTCTTCTGTGAAGATGCTGTGTGAGCCCACGTTCCAATCACTCCTCTGTTACTCATCACTGCGTTCTCCCATGTGTATGTGCTACACATATCACAACAGGGACTTAGAAAAGATGCCTTGGCTAAAAGTACTGACTCTTAGGCACACAGATGCCCTACGAGTAATCAAAGCAGGGCAAAGCTGGGCATCTCTGCCTTGATTTTGTACGTGTCTCTTTTCTTACTTTATCTTTGGGTCATGACCCTCCCCAGCTCTGCATGTAATCTACATGTTCATCACGTAAGAAGTGCTCATCTAAAAAAGTAGCACTACAAGGTTTATTAGCCCTAAGTTTACCTAATCTGTCTCATTCCCCTTGAAGACTGAGACAAGATTTGCAGCACGCTTCTAGGCACCCTGAACTGATGCCTAGAAGTCCCCAGTCATCACCCCCATCCCGATCACAGGTCTGATAAACCAGCATCCTGAGCCCGTGAAAACTGCCCCCTCAAGGGAAAAGAACTCAAAGCTCCTGTCGACTACCCAAAGACAGCAATGACAGCACTGAGACGCTGGATCTCACGTTGCCTTCCCAACGGGGCCATATTGGTTAGTTTCCGTCCCTACTTTCACCATGACCTTTTCCCCTTGGTTTTCTAGGAGGAATGGCTAGACCCACTTAGTTGGGACCCCTGGAGTCAGGCCTCTGACCTAGGATGCCTGTAACAATATTGATGAAAGGTGTATGCTTTTCTGTCATGGATCTGTCTTTGGACAACCCAATTTGCAGAACCTCAGCCAAAGAAACTCAAATAGTTGGAGGGAAAAAGAAATTGTCCCCTTCCCTATAATGCTTTCACCAAGTTTTAAATTACACATTGTTATTTGCACTCCCAACTTTCCTCTGTACATAATCTATTTGATAAAGCCTTAACTTACACCATGAAAATACACAAGTAGTAAAGTGATTGAACTATGCAAGTCGTAAATCCTTGACTGAAAATATCTTTACTTTTCCCTTGTTTTTTAAAAGCATTTTGTGTAACTATGAGGGTCTCCTTCCATTTCCAAAGGGTCTCTCTCCCTTTCCCTCCCACCTCTCGTCCCTGTTTAATATTAATCTTCTTCTCATGCTCTTCCTCCCTGCTCTGTTATTAGTTGCTCTCCTTATATCAAAGAAGACATTTGGCATTTGTTTTTTAGGGATTGGCTAGCTTCACTTAGCATAATCTGCTCTAATGCCATCCATTTCCCTGCAAATGCCATGATTTTGTCATTTTTTAGTGAAGAGTAATACTCCATTGTGTATAAATGCCACATTTTTTTAATCCATTCATCTATTGAAGGGCATCCAGGTTGGTTCCACAGTCTTGCTATTGTGAATTGTGCTGCTATGAACATCGATGTAGCAGTATCCCTATAGTACACTCTTTTAAGGTCTTCAGGGAATAGTCTGAGAAGGGGAATAGCTGGGTCAAATGGTGGTTCCATTCCCAGCTTTCCCAGAAATCTCCATACTGCTTTCCAAATTGGCCCACCCATTTGCAGTCCCACCAGCAATGTACAAGTGTACCCTTTTCCCCACATCCTCGCCAGCACTTGTTGTTGTTTGACTTCCTAATGGCTGCCAATCTTACTGGAGTGAGATGGTATCTTAGGGTGGTTTTGATTTGCATTTCTCTGACTGCTAGAGATGATGAGCATTTTTTCATGTACTATATAAGAGGGAGTGAGGGGAAAAGGAAAAAAAAAACAAGGGAGAGAAACGAATTACAGTAGATGGGGTAGGGAGAGAAGATGGGAAGGGAGGGGAGGGGAGGGGGGATAGTAGAGGATAGGAAAGGCAGCAGAATACAACAGACACTAGTAGGACAGTATGTAAAAACGTGGATATGTAACCTATGTGATTCTGCAATCTGTATACGGGGTAAAAATGGGAGTTTATAACCCACTTGAATCAAATGTATGAAATATGATATGTCAAGAGCTTTGTAATGTTTTGAACAACTAATAATAAAAATTAAAAAATAAAAGCATTTTGTTATTAAGTTTTGATTGGTGCGTTGTAATTATATAGACTAGGGGGGTTCATCACGCCGTATTTGCACACGCATGTAACGTCATTTTCTCAGTCTCATTCCCTAGTGCCTTGAATAACGATATCGCAAAATTCTAGGTCTCTTGTATTTTCCTCACTACTGGAGATATTCCTCCATTAGCTCTTGGCATTAATTTTGGCTGAGGAATAGTTTGTTATCAGTTTATCTGCTCTTTTATGCGTCACGATCTTCTTTCTCTGACTGATTTGTAAATTTCTCTGTTTTGTTTATAACCTGGAGTTTTACTACCCTATGCCCAGGGGTGAATTTCTTTTTAATGATCTCAACTGGTACTTTTTGGTGCTCTTTAAATCCTGTGTTTTCCTTTCGATCTAGAAAAGAAAAAATTCAACTGCAAACTTCCTCCTCCTCCACACTTGTTCTCCAGGAACTCCTTACACACCCAGTGCCCTGCTGGTGCATTCCCCTCCCCCACGCTTCTCCATCTAATTATGCCTGTTCTCTACCTCCTGTCCTTCACTGTGCCCCTGCTCGCTGTCAGCTTCAGATCTGTCTCCAAGCTCACCAGTTTGTGACACCTCCCGTTAATTTCAACCAAGTTTTAAGAATATCAGCATAAATAACTTTGATTTTAAGACATCCATTCCTTGGTTTTTATTCAATTCCACCCATTCTTTTTTTTTTTTTCTCCCCTTCTATTATTTGACTCTTTCATCAAGGATCTTCCTTGCCTTTCGCTGATGTGGAATTTCACGTTAAGTCATTATTTTACACTTTATTCCATACTGTCATGTTACCTTAGGTCCTTAGGGTACTGACGGTGCTGACTGTAGGAGAATCTGTGGTGCTCTCTGGGGAGACTATTTTTAGTGTGCTTTACCATGAGCTCACCACCAGCAAGGCTTCTTCTCCTGGGGGATGCGCTAAGTTCTGACATCAGACACTGAGAGGTGGCCGCTTGCTTGGATTGAAGGCCTGGGGGTTTTAACTGCCCTTCACCTGTGTTATGTTAATTTCTCAACCAAGACTTGCCTCACTGCACGGACACTATGACTCTCCAGGTGAGAGGATTTTGATTTCTCCATGGTAACACTTTCTCCTTTCCCATGCAAGTCCCTGGCTGGAGTTCAGGTGTGCTCCGTGGTTCCTGACGATTTCTAATCCCCTTTGTTACGATGGGGACTTACCCAGACTTGGCACAAACCCACACAGGGGTGGTACCTTACCCAAGAAGTGTGTCATCTCCCAGGATAGCTGACCCTTCCATCAAACACTGAGCCAGTGTTGTCAAAGGCAACTTTTTCTGTAAAGGAAACAAAGAGCATCATGAGAATTATTTCTAGTGGTCACCCACTGGTACTCTACAATGGCAAGAAGTCAGGTACTTTATGTCAGACTTCATGTGAACTAAGAAACAGACTGACTTTAAAATATGTTTACACCTAAAACAGAGCACATGATGATGGGATGCACTAAGAGGTCTCAAAATTCAGAAAACTAAAACTGAATCAAAGGTATCACTTTGGAAAATAAGCCTAAGGTTTAGACACTACATTGTAGAATGAAATACAATAGCAAGCAGGAAAAAAGGAGAGCATCTCAAAGTTAACCAAGACTTGAGCAAGGCATTACTTTCCAACACTCAACTTCTTTCTCAGTCTATCAGCCCCACTTCACAAACAAAGCAGATTTCAATGAAGAGAGAAAACTGTTCACATACAATTAAAATGTAAAGAAAGTAAAAATAAAGGTACTCTCCACAGACAATATGCAAGTGGCCAGCTAGCACAGAAAAAGCAGCTTAACCTCATCAGCCACTAGGGAAGTACAATTGAGGTCACCATGAGATACCATGGATGTAACAATATTAATGTATTTTAAAAACAGACAATAAGCATTGGTGAGCATATGGAGAAACGTGTGGCTCGTGGAAATATAAAATGGTACGGCACTGTGGAAAAACTTAGTAGTATCTCGATAAGCTGGACCATATTACCCTGTGGCCTAGCAGTTCCACTCCTGGATACACTCCCCAAATACATGAAAACAGACATACAAACAAAATATGTGAACAGCAGCATTTTTTATAACAGACAAAAAGTGGAAACAATGCAAACATCTACAGATGGAGGAATGAATAACAAAATGTGGTCTATTCAAGCCATGGAATATTCTTCAGCTATAAAAGGAACAAAGTCCTGACACATGCTACAATATAGATGGCCCTGAAGAAAAATCTCATGCTAAGTGATATATGCCAGACACAAAACACATTGTATGATCCCATTTATATGAAATATCCATGGTAAGTCTATTAATATAGACAAAAAGTAGATTCATGGTTACCAAGGGCTAGAAGGGAAGGGTACAGGGTTTCCTTTTGGAGTGATGAGAATGATCTGCAACTAGGGTGTGTGTATACAATTGTTAAGATCACTGAACACTTTACAATGCTGTTGTTGTTATTATTATTTGGTTATTATTATCATTTGAGTATTATTATTATTATTTAGTTATTGTTGTTGTTGTTATTATTATTATTATTAGGTATTGGGGATAAACTCAAGGGATTTACCACTGGGCCATATCCCCAGCCCGTTTTGAAATATTTTATCTAGAGACAGGTCTCACTGAGTTGCTGAGGCTGGCTTTGAAGCTACAATCCTTCTGCCTCAGCCTCCCAAGCTACCAGGATTACAGGCCTGTACCACCACGCCTAGCTACAAGGGTAAATTTTATGTTATGGGAAGGGAAAGGCACACTACTAAAAAACTGTGTCATGGCCCACCCCTTTCTAAATGTCAAAAGCCCTCTCTTGATGGGCATGGTAGCTCACACCTGCAATCCCAAAGGCTCAGGAAGCTGAGGCAGGAGGATCACAAGTTCAAGGCCAGCCTTGGCAACTTAGTGAGGACCTAAGCAACTCAGCCAGCGAGACCCTGTCTTTAAATAAAAAATAAAAAGGGCTGGGGATGTGGCTCAGTAGTTAAGCACCCGCTGGGTTTGAAAAACCCTCCTTCAAAAAAAAAAAAAGCCTTCTCTTTATGGAGCCAAGACCAACCAGCCCAAAAGTACATGCAGGTAGACAGCACAAGAAAATCAACAAGGTCGGGACTGTTGGCATATCCTTGCACCTTGCATTTTCCACTCTTTGGGGCCATATGGACCATCCTTCAAATGGAAAGTGCCGCACGATGTCCAGCCCAGACCTTCCTGGTGTCATTCCTAGGGAGCTGCTATATGGAAGGTAGGCACACACCACACCAGCAGTGAGCCAAGCTAGACACTGCTCTCGTGGAAGCTTCCCAGTGGGGAAGACAGGGAATAAACATCTGCATCTCTTCATCTGGCTGCTCACCTGTTCCCTTCATGATACCATTTATAATAAGCTGACTGATATAAGTCCTGTGAGCCATTCCAGCATGTAATTCAAACCGAGGACGGGTCATGGAAACCTCAACTTATGAAGGGTCGATCACCAATGCCAGAGGCCAGGGTTCACACCTGGCATCTAAGGTGAGGGGGAGGAAGCCGTTTTGTGGGACTGAGCCCTGCACTTGTGGGATGTGACAGATACTCCAGGTGAGTGTGTCCGAATTGAACTGAATTGTAGGACAACCAGCTAGGGTTCACATCCAGCTAGGATTCAGAGTAGAAGAATTACGTGGCACGGGAAAACCCTCCCGATATTTCTGGTCACAAAAGTATGGTATAAAAGTGTAGATAAATAAAATGTGTTTTTAACAAAAGCAGGCTTAATATTCCAATAAGGGGTCATGGAGAGGGCACAGATTAAAGTATGATTCTCAACCCGGGTGATCTGGTCCTAGGGACGTCCATCTTTTACCTGCATCTCTATGGGCCTCCTTCCCTGTCAGTCATCACTCCTCAACTGTGCCGACGTGTTACTGAACATGCTGAGCTTTGTTCTTGCTCTACTTTCTGAATCTGGAGACATAGTTAGTTGTCACAATGTGAGAGATGCTATTGGCATCAGGTGGGTAGAGACCGTCCCACGATGCACAGCAAAGAATTACTAGGCTCAGAGTTTCAAGAGTGCCAAGGCTGAGAAACCTGGTGTAATTTGCAAGTTCCTCAAATATCCCAAAAATCAATGAAGATGCTCCACCAGAATGTCAGTATGTATATTCAGGACATCGGTCAGTCACATAAAGGCCATTTTGATTTGAGATGAATGTTCACAGCCCCATGACCTGCCTTCAAGGTAAGACTTCTGGTTTCCAGAATGTCTTCAAATTCTGACAAAGCAGTAAGGAGGACTGTGGCTATCACGGAGTAAGAGGACTTCAGATAGCCTAGGACAGACGTCCTTCGGAGAAATACCCCAGGAGGTAAGTAGGGCTTTTTCAAATATGGAAAAAGACTAGTCTAATTGGTCCAGTCTAAGCTAAGCAGAAAACTGTGCCTGTGACAGGTGACTAAAGTGTGAAGGTCAATATCAACAGAACAAGAACAGCCCCAGAAGGACCCTAAAGTGGATCATGAAGGACCTTAAAGTGGATCAGAGCCCTGGAGGGTCAACAACAAGAGAACAAACAGGTGAAGTGTCAATCATACAAAATTCAGACCAAAAACGTTTGAAAGTGACCTTACTTCTAGTCACTCAACACTCACACTGACGTTTGATGCTCTTATGTGACAAAGAGGAGAGCATTAAGTGACAAAGTACTACGAAATTCTTTCTATTCCAACTGCTTTTAATTCTCAAGATTTTAACAAACAAAGAGAATAACACTTCTCTTTCTCTATCTTATCTACTTATCTATCCATACCAAATAAATGAATTTCCGAGTAGGAAACAGATGCGTATGTATTATGGTTTGCATATGAGGTATCCTCCAAAGGTTCCTGGGTTCCTGCAGGAAGTGAAGTGAATTGATTATGAGAGCTGAAATCTAAATGCACTGAATGGGTGGTAACTGCAGGCAGGTGGGTGCCGCTAGAAGAGGTGGGTCACTGGGGGTGCGCCCTAGAGGGGTTCATCCTCCCTGAAGCCCCTTCTCTTCCCTCTCTCTCTCTGCTACCTGGTTTGAACTGAGCGGCTTTACTCCATCATCCCCTTTGCTCTAACTCCTCTCAGGTCCAGAGCACTGGATTTGGCCAACCATGGTCTGAACCGAACCTCTGAAACCATGAGCCAAAACACTTTCCCTCCTCTGAGTTGTTCTTATCAGATAATCCACCTTCACCAGATACCATGACAGGGACCAGACTTTTATGTATCCTTCCACCAATATTCTAAGAAGATCCAATTGTGTGTGTGTGTGTGTGTGTGTGTGTGTCTGTGTGTCTGTTTGTATATCCATTTTTATTGGGTATTTTCCCCCACAAAGGTTAGCCTAACTAGGTATACCCCTCTGTGCCCGGGCTCCCTTTTCACACAGAGGTATCTTCATATCATTCCTATTGTCACATATAGAGCTGTCTCGCTCTTTTGTTTATGTGCTTTAATGGCTACACAGATCACTGAATGAAGATGACAACGTATTTACTCCTCTACCAATGGTGTAACTGCCTCTAGGAGAGATGTGTGAGGTAAATTTAGAGGGTGTGAAGTCCATTCCCAGGGTGGGAGAAGCAGGGTCAAGTGGGTAAAACTCAGCAGAAATCACATAGAGTTTTTATTGGTATACATGTTTTAATAATAGGAGATTGGAAAGGCACCACCAAATGACCAAAGAAAGAAACAGATGATGATGTATCTTTATGACAAGGGAGAGGGCCATCCATAATCAGAGGCAGGAGATAAGATGTTAATGGACTATAAACCCCGATAAAGTGCGAATGATTTCTGTTTCTGAAAGTCCACAAGAGTCAATAGAGGGCTCAGGAGAAGCCAGACAAAGCAGCATTCCTATGTAACCCACTGACTGCCCAGCTCTGAGGTATTATTTCTCTCTCTTCATCCTTTGTTCCCACACCCCACTTCATGAAAGAAGGACATCCAGTCTTCAAAGGGTGAAAAACTACCCCAATATCTACAAGAGCTGCTGGAATCTGTCTACCTCTGCTGCCAAGGGTCCACCCTGAAATAGCTGCTGCCAATCCTCGGTGAATATTACTGAACATCTTAGCAAACTTCATGCTGGCCAGTGATTTTTCAGGATCAAAGAGAAGGTACTAAAAATAGCTTTTCCCCTGCCTCTAGAGTTCGAATATAACTTTAAAAATAAGAGAAGGAAAGACAGACTGTCTCAAGTTTGAATGTATTAGTCTGACAAGTCTGAGATGACTATTCTCTTGAACATTACCTTGGGCATAAGCAATGCTTTGAAGGATGATGCAAGCAAAACGTGTCATTCTGGTATCTGCTCGGTTCCCCACACACCCTCTCTCAAACTTTATCTCCAAAAACTACTTTCAATTGTCCTCAAATTTTAAATCCAGGCAACAAGCACTTATGATTTAGCCCCCAAAAGACATAGCCCAGGACAGTTGCTCAGGGCTCAGTAGTTCTCCATGGCCATCTGAGCCTAACAGTGGGCAGTACCAACAGCAACCAGCACCTTGTATCTCTTTAATATCCACTTAAGCACTGTGCCAGGCAATTGTAGGCACTGCCTCTGGATCTGTCAAACAGCCCTACTGGGCAGGAAATCACCCTTGTTATTACCATTTTTGAAATGAAGAAACCAAAGCTTATGAAGTAATTAACTTGTTCAAGCTCAGGCAAAATTAGGAAGCAGTACAGAGCTGAGCTTTGCCCTTGGGTGGCCAGATCCAGAGTTCACCTCAGAGCTGTCCTGCTAAATGGTCTGTTACAGAATAGGAAGGGTTCAAATTGGTCAGGCAGCCTGTTAGGCAGGTTCTGTGTCTAAATGACTCATAGGTCATCCATTTATGGCACAGATCTGTTTTTTATCACTGCCTACCAGTGGGTAGGCTCTGTTTTAGGCACTGAGGATACAGCTAATAGAGAGACATCCGGATCTCTGCTGCCATGGAGCTCACACATCAGTGAGGGAAATTCGTGATCACAGCGATTTCAGATGCTAATTTGTGCTATGAAGAAAATAATCATGTTGGGTGGTGGGATGGGGGGAAGGGAAGGAGCGGTGCATTAGATGGCTGGGAAAAGCATTGCTGAGAAGGTGACTGTTAGAGTCTGTAAACAAGTCAAAATAACACCTGGCATTTTGCCAGGGGAATGTTAAAGTTCGTAAACAAGTCTGGATGGTGCCTGGCAAAATGCCAGAGGGAGTGGTTTAAGAAGTAACAAAAGCGAGCCATTAAGTGTGGAGATTCCTTATTGGTTGACTGATGTATCTAGTTTATGCTAATTAGATAAGCTCTGTGGAATGTATAAATACTGCTCCTGTCCTGCAGTAAACGGCTCCCACTCCTGCTGTATCAATCTACACAAGTTCCTCGTCACCGCCCCCCCCCCCATTATTTTGCTGCAGCCGGACTGCGGCAGGTGACATCTGAGCAGAGAACTGAACAATACAAAGTTGCTTGCCTGAACTTGTGGGTCAGAGCATTCCATCAAGACTAGAGCAAGCACAAAGGCTCCAAGAGGGACGCAGCTCAGTGGGTTCGGTAACATATCAACACAGCAAGAGAAGGATGACTGACAGGGAAGAGAGCAAGAACTGAGCTTCAGGGACGCAGGTAAAAGACGTAAAACTAGAAAGGAGTTCAGATTTTATTCTACAGTGGGAATCCTTTGGTGGGATTTAGGCAAGAGAGTGATAGGATTTGATTTCCATTTTAAATACTCATGGGCTGATATAGAGGATGGAACATCCTATATCTGGAAAACCCAGAAGGAACTGCTGTATAATGACAGCTGCCCAGAAAAGGGTGGCATATGCTAAAATGAAACAGAAATTCTTTGGAAGAAGGGTCAGCAGGATTTACTGGAAGTCTGACAATGAGATAGAAAGAGAGAAGAGTAAAGAGTCATGTGGGGGACTCAGGTCTGAGCAAGTGGGCGGACTTTTGCTAGATCCTTCTGGTAGAGCTTGAAATGCCACCCTTCCTGGGGATCTCGATTCAAAGGCCATTTGTCCTCTTCCCCTGTTTTCCCTGATGGGTGACCTCAACTTCATGGATTCACCAGTCACTCAAGCCAAAGCACATGAACCCCTTGCTCTCTTGTCGTACCCCATACCCACTCAATTACCAGGTCTGGGTATTCTACCTCCAGCACCTAGCAGGTAAGCTGATCTCTCTCTCCATCTTCCCTGTTCCCACTGCTTTCACCTAGATCTGTCCCATATTTGTCTAACTGGCTCTACCATCTGCCACGGTCCCCTCCCCACTCATTCATTGCTCACAGAATCATCTATGAATCTGATCATATCACTCCCTCATAAAACCTTGGCTTTCCACCGATCTTAGGCATTTCGTCCAAATCCCCACCATGGCCTAGAAGGCATGATCCGGTCCCCTGTGGTCCCATCTCATGCCCCTTTCCTCCTCTTATGATCTGGTCGCTTTGGCTACCTTTTATGTTTCTCGAGAACATCATACTCCTGCCAGATGGGGTGGCCTCAGTGATGGGAAACTGAAGCAGGAGGACTGCAAGTTGGGGGCCAGCCTGGGCCACTTAGCAAGAACTAAAAACATCTGGGGCTATAGCTCAGTGGTTAAATCCCCAGTACTACAAAGGCGGAAAAAAAAAAAAAAAGTCAGATTCCTTACTGTCTCTGGGGACTCAGCACACACTGGACCTCTCCTGGAAGCACTTATACCCTTTTTAAAAGTGCTGCCATCCTTCGCTTGTTCCGAACAGCCACTTGCTGGTGGAAAATTACGACTGTATTCCCAGTGAGCTCCTCTTCCTAGCATGAAGCGCCGACCTGAATATATGACACAGCTACTTTCTGAGATTCGCTCAGTAAGGTGGAGAAACACTTGCACATGCTAGCAGATTATTGGACATGATCTCCTTGTAAGACATGCAAGGACTTAAAACATCATCATTATGCTGGCAATCTTAAGAACCTATAAACTAACTAATTATTAGCTTGGATTAAGTGAGGCAAAATGGAAGCCTCATTCGTATCCTTTCTCTTCTCCATCCTACATAGGGAATCTGGTCTAACTCGATATCCACAGAAGGATGATGCTCTTCATGGTCACTGAGAGAGTGACAGGAAAAAGTGCCCATTCCCATCCGGCAACTAGCCATAACTTTTAGCACCAAACTTCTAAAGCTGTATATAATAAAAGTTTAAGTGTTGGACATTATAACTAAACTATCGAAGAATGAATGAGCTTGTTAAAAGAGAAATAACAAGAAGCAATGATTCATATGCATCCCAGTAAGCACAGGACTGCATGGATATCTACTCCTTCTAATCCCAAGATGCTGTGACTACTGTAGGAATGAGAGGCGCTGACCCCTGCTCACGTCAGCTGGCAGGGGATGACTGCCCATCTCCTGAACCGTGCTTAACACCCCACTTCCCTGACCAGTACTTGGTCATTCATTTCTCCCCCTGCCCTTTAACTGATCCCTTTTATATATTCATTTATTTTCCGTCTTTTTATCCTTCTTCCTTTTCCCCTATTCCTTAGATCCTGACACAGTTCCCTACCTAACCATCGCAAAGAACTGAGCTCATATTCCAATATTTGAGGCAATTCGTAAGTGTTGTGTTTCCTATTAAATCTTCTGCTTTAGGGAAAAAAAAACCTGAAAAAAAAATTCTTGAGTCAGGATTTGGAATTTTTTATGACTGTTAAATACTTTTAACTTTAAAAATAACATTTTAAACTTTAAATGGCTCTTTAACTTTCAGAACATTTACTCAGTCATATGATGATAAAGACTGATCAGCCCAAGATATCGCTGACAAGATCAGTTAAAATCCGTACAGTAAAATCCCTGATCTCCACATGCTTGGGCACCTCCTTCCACTGCAAACCTCTTCCAGGTCAACTAAATAGGTCTCCAGTTTGCAGGCTCAACTGCACACACATGGCTGCAAGCTTCAGGACCTGCCAACAACTGCCACAGGTCCCCATGCTAAGAATTCTGTGTTCAGACTTGTATCCCATCCCAAAAAAAACTCATCATGTACACGCAAATATTGAAATATCTGAAATCCAGGCTGAGCACGGTGGCACATGCCTATAATCCCATCGGCTCTGGAGGCCGAGGCAGGAGGATCAAAAGTTCTAAGCCAGCCTCAGCAATATAGCCAGGTCTCTAAATAAAATACAAAAAAGGGCTGGGTATGTGCTCAGTGGTTGAGCATCCCTGGATTTACTCCCCAGTACCAAAAAGAAAAAAAAAAAAATATCTGAACTCCAAAACATTTCTGGATCAAGCATTTTGGATAAGGGATGCTCACCTGTGTTATTAAGAAAGAAGAAACCAAGGCTGGAGTGAGAAAAAGAAATGACTGATAAAGTTAACAGAACAGTGTTTGCACTTCAACAGGAGACAGGAGAAAGCATAGGGTGCTTTACACAACTGTCAACAGAGATGAGATTGACATCAGCTCAGGGATTCAAGGAGACCACAGCAAGCAGAAGTCAACAATAACTTCAGGTCAAAAAATAAATAAATCCAACAGACACAAAACATGTAGACTGTATACTCAAGGCAGGAGAAAAGGTCCTCCTAGCTTGCAAAATCTCTCCTAATAAAACCGAGTGAATGTCTAAGAATATCTTTTTCAGTGGAAGCGAGGGAGTTAGGGTCAAGAGGGAAGTGAGACTGTAAAGATGGTTTACAGCAAAGACTGTGAAATTGAACATCACACAACGCCTGTTATTACCGATGTAGGTTATAAACAAAGACGTTAGAGTAGCTTTATTTAGCAGACTCTCTTTATTGTCTCATTACAGTGAAAACCGTTTCCAAGGGCCTTTATAGGTCACTTGTAACCTCTGAAACCATGGTATAATTTTTCTTATGCAATCATAAGATACTATTGAAGCTAATGGACTCTGGGAATGAGCTGACTCAGGGGAAAGATGTCCATCGAGGATAAAGTTTCCCTGCAGGTGGGATTTTAAGCATGCCCATGCCATTCTCCTGGTGGTCCTACCCTGGGGGAGGATGAGAGGGACCTCACCTTGCATGAGGAATGAGCAATACTTTAACCCAGGGCTAAGGATCTAGAACTGTGGGAAAGGTCCTCACTCTACAGAAACAAGAAGCTAGGTGTGCTTGGCTGATTCACAGACACACATAGGGCTTCACTAATAGCCACAAGAAATGAGGCCCCAGGAGTGGAACCCTTGCCTTCAGGAGGCAAGTTTTAAGCTGCCGGGGTGGGGGGGCTCAGCAGAAGGCACTTACAGAGCGCTTGTCCGCCTCGGCCCCCTGTTGGCCCTGCAGACAGGCCGTGAGCTTCTTGTGTGTGCTGTGGGACACTTGCTTCACCAGCTCCAGGCGCTTCTCCACCTGCAGACAGAACAGCGGGAGGCGTCATGGGTGCAGGCAAGATCGGGAGAAGTGGGGATGTCATTCTGGGTAGTCAGGATTCATGTTTTCACAGAGACAAGGACTTCTAGGAAGGCAATACCCAGTGCTGGAGAGCTGGGGTGGGGGGTGTAGTCACAGGCTCTGGGGCTCGCCTGCTAATAGAGACTCTAAACCTCTCTTTGAGGACCCCACCTAAACCAGCACAGCTGGCCCTGGGTCTGCAGGCGATGTGTTCCAGGACAGCCCACGGATACAAAATCTACAAATGCTCATGTCCCTTGCATCAAATGGCATGTAACCTACACCCATCCTCCTATATATTCTTTAAATCATCTCTAGGTTACTTTAAAAACCTAATCAATATAAATCTCATACAAATAATAGTTATACTGTATTGTTTGGGGAATAATGACAAGCAAAAAAAGTTCTATATGTGTTCAGTACTGACTGACAAAATTTGTTTCTCAATGTAATTCAATTTATTTATTTATATATGAACATATACTATATATGTGTGTGTGTGTGTGTGTGTGTATGTGTGTGTATATATATATATATATATAT